CCAGTGCTTATCTGAGTACATGGGAAATAATACAACATCAAAGAACTCTGCTGCTCCACTATTTGTCTTATCTAAAACAGTCTTTGAAAGCCATTAGGAAAAAAAGGCTAAAACTTTGGCAAAAGGCAACTGTAAGGCAATGTCATGTTACTACAGTCTGGGATATTCCCATTTTTGTGGGGCAATAGGTATTGATGGGGGGGTGAAGAGAAACTGAAGCCCCAAACATGAAAAAAGGATAAAGATGACTGATCACAGAGCAAAAGGGCAGAGAGTTCTTGAAATGGTACATTTATAAACAGCAATTAAAGCACATTTTGCTCTGGTTTATTTCTGTGTTTCTGTTTGTAAGCTGGTTTTTAGATAGTTTGAATACAAGGTGAGGTCCTCTTTCACTGGATCTTTTGCATTCTTTATGTAAAAGCTTCAGATTCTAATATCTATTTTTAAGTAACCTTTTTTTTTTGTTGCATTTTCCGAAGATGAGGGCAACTTATAGATTTCTAATATTTAAAGTACTTTCTAAAAATTGATGAGAACATTCTGAATCCAAAATTCAGCTACAGTCACCAAACTGTTCTTAGTGTATACAGCCTAATAGGTAATTTGACTCAATGATAACCTCAATTAAAACAAAGCACTGTAAAAGCTCATCTTCAGTCCTACAATTTGATAGTGTTATATTTTGTTGGCAGCATCAGTTTTTTTCAAAGCTTCTAAGAAATAATTTTCTTTAGTATTCTGGATAGTTTCACTATTTTATTGATTTATGTTTGGTTAAAATATGTATAAATTTATGTATATATATTCATCTGTGAGACAATACATCATTATTTATACTGATCCATCCAAATATGTAACTTCAACTCTCCTCAGAATCATTTAAAATATCAAAAGAAAAATGAGTGCACTGCAATAAATAACACGAAACATCTATTATAAATACAAAGGCAAAGTGATTTGCATGGATGCATGTTCATAGAATAAAGTGAAATAAGGTACTTTATACAAGCTAAACAGGTACTACCAAGGCAAAAAAAAAAAAAAAAAAATATGTGTGACTTTTAAGAAAAAGCTATGTCAAACTGAACAACTTCTAACCATGCTTCACTGGGAGCCAGTTGAAGTAGCCCACTCAATAACTGATCAGAAGAACTATTTGTATCACAAGGAGCAGAAGAACACGACAATGTTAATAGACACTGTTAAATGCAACACTGGAGACGTCTCCAGCCTGAATTTTTATAGCCAGGCTCCCACTGCAATACAGATCCAGAGCTGTCTCCCCTGTGTCACATACAACCAGGTCCAGCACAAACACATGAAAACCTTTGCTACAAACTACTGGAGAAGATAAAGCTCAGGAAGGGAGAACATCGGATAAAAAACTGGGTATTCAACAACAGCAGCCCTTTAAAAACCCCAAAGCATTCTTCTTCTCAGTAAAGCCTTCCCACCAGGTAAGGGATATCTTTCTCAGACACAAGCAGTGAGGTCTTTAATCAATAAACTGGAGGCAGAAAAATGTTGATGAAACAGATTAGATGTCTAGTTGGGTTTCCTGGAATTACTTAATGCTGCAGTGATGGATTCTATGGAGGTAAAGAGATAATCAACTAATGACTTGCACAATTTTAAACATGAATAATGTTTGGCAAATACATAAACAGCTCCCTAACATACTTTGACACAGAAATGGTATTTTAGATATGGCACAGTTCTAACACAGTTAAAAAGCAGCATTTTAATGAGTGTGACCTTGAAAACAATTCTTGTTTTAAGAGCTATGTGACCTTAAGGTACATTAATTCATTAGATAAAAGTTTCTTCTCCCCAGTGGCAAACATTTTCAATTTCAGCACCAAAATGTCATGACTCAAGCAGCAGATGTTTCTCTGAGCCTTCCTCTTAATCACTACAAAACCTTCTACTCTAGGTAAATAGCAAGGAACTGAAATAACTTGCAACCACTGTGGTAGCTTGAGAGCAGTGGTACTGTGGCTCAGTCACCTGGCTTCTGACAGAAAACTCTGTTCTTCACTAGCCACACGGGGCCTGCTGGCCCATTAGACAGCACCAGAAATTATTCCTAACAGTAAACTGACTGATGCATGCTTTCCACAAGGATATAAAATACTGCATATACTTGATTTCACTGCAGACATATTCTGTCTATGCAATAAGCAGTTTGTGGCTTCATACATATTTTCCTTCCTGATTTTTTTTTCCTTCATATTCTTATATCATCTGTTTGAACATCTTGCCAGTTCCTCCTCATCGGAAGACCTTAAGATAATTATGTAACTGTTACTGAGATCTGCAGAACAGTGGACTGGAAATATTTTATTTTATACTACAGCCTAACTATCAAAAATACTTGATCTAAGCCCATGTGTTATCCCCCTATAATTTGGATTTAATCCAGGAATTTTTAAATAGTTATAGTGTAAAGCTGGGATCTTTGGCTCAGTCAGACATAGCTGTGCCTTGTGTTTCACATTTTCTGCTAGTTTTCCTGACCAGTCCTGGCTGTAGGATTGCTTTGCATTTCTGCACCACAGATGCAGGGGGATATTCCCCCTCACTTTAGAGAACTACATACACTCTATCTCTGTGATGGCACACAGCACATGTCATGGGTCCTTCTACATCAAATTTTTGTATATAAAATTAATTTCTTCTCCAATTGTTCTTCACTTGTTCTTCAGTTGTAAAGAATGGCTCTTGGAGATTACCCAGGTGAATACTATGATTAATTTATTTAGAGGAAGTATTTCATTGCTTGTTTTACTCATGAATTATCACTGTTTCCTGATTCCATGGAAAAGACATGTAAGTTTTGTTCAGGAAGGTAAACCACTCATAGTGTGTTTGGCAGCATGGGTCTGTGAGTGCAGCTCTGCCCCCATGTACATTCCATTGGTAGCTACTGATGGGTTTTCATCATCAGATCTCTCCCTTTACGTCATCCTCTGTGCCCTGTTTTACTGCTGGTTGCTTCCTGTACTATTTTACTCAAAACCCACTAATCCAGTGTTTGTTCCAATGAGAAATTTTATAACAGAAGCATAGTGGCAATGTGTCCTCAGGCACACATCTTTCCTCTGCCTAACCTGTTCTGCTGGGATGAACTCTGTCCTGTTTCTGCTCGAGGCAGATGTTCCTTTGGACAGCAGCAACAACCATTACTCACAACACTCTTTATTCATTCATGCTCCTTCTACATTTTTGGCTTGCTGCTGAAGTGGGAGGGTAATGCAGCAAGGCGCTTCTGTCACTTTGGAAACCTCCTTTTGCCACATGAACAGCTTCAAGAGGACAACCTTCGAATTGGCAACTCCTAAAGTCACCTTCAGTGGACTGCTCCTGCAGGTGTACATCACTATGGCAACACTCGGTGCCATTCAGAGTGCACACAAGATTTTGTGCTCAAAGTTATTATTTCCTAATTCTGCAGACCATATGGCATCATAAAACCCACAGTAGAGCAGATATTTTTTAAGCATGACATTAACTTTACTAGGGACATTAACAAAGATGAGTAATGTTATCCTCACTCGAGTATGAATTATGCCAATGTTTTCAAATTTGGATGATTAAGGTTGTACCTAAAATGATCACCTATTTTTTCCCAGTTCTGAGATGTAATAGGAGTCCACCTGTGCCTGTATCTGAAAGTATCCATACATATTTTCAGAATGACATTTTAAGCAAAGCACTTAAGGCCAGCATTATTCTGATTTATTTTTCTGATGCTTATGATTGGTAAATCTGACCCTGTTCTTATGACACATCTCAGGAAAAGTTATTTTCTCAGTAATCACTGCACTTAATTTTAGTTCTACTTCAGATTACTGATTCTCTGATCAGTGCACACAAATGTTCAGATACTCTGTCTAGCACAGACAAATCTTAAAAAAATGAAATTTATTTAAAATATTTCTTAAAACTGTCCAATTTTGCAAATGCCTCTCCTTTCCACTACAACCTACGTGGTTTGCCACATTCCATAATGCTTCCTGGTAAATAACTTATGTATTTGTTACCACTACTCCTGGTGCCATGCTCGCATTATTAATAAATTAATGTGGTTAATTATTAAAATACCAAGCATGTACCAAGCATGTTTCAATTACTTTTCTCACCTGTCTCCACTTCCTTAATGCAAAATATTCCAACCAGAAACATTTTTTACTTTCCAATGATCTTGATGATATATAAAGCAACAGGGTATATTCTCTAGGCATTCAGCTTACAGCCTCTCTGCATGAACAAGCTGGATGTGCAAGGAGGCCCTGGGATCATGCCTGGGGGCATTAATGAGGTTATTAGAACACTGTAACAAGGATTATCTGAATTTCTTATGCAGAACTGAAGATTTAATCAGTCTCTTGCCTTCAACTACCAACACAAGTCGGCTCAAAACCACTGCTGTTCTAAAACCACAATTTTTTTCTTCTCATATTATGAAGACCATGGATGATTAATGTTCATTAAAAATGGTAAAACTTCTGGGAAAAAGTTATACATGAAACATGGCATCTTGTTTTTTTATTATGAACTCAACACAGCACAGCTGACCTTGGCAGTAATTTTCATACTGAAATGAAAACATCACTTTCCGTGAGTCCATCACATCACATTTGGGTGCTAAGCTTTTGCCCACAGTTTTCATTGATATTGCACTTAAAAGAAAACTGCTTTTCACCTTTAACTTTCCTTCCCACATAGCAGTAGCCATAAAGATGGTAACCCTGAAAATCACTTGGGTGCTTATTTAGATGCAGGTGTGATTATTTCAAGAACTGTACCATCTGCTTACTGGGGGTCAGCCTGGAAAAACATATTTTTAATAAAAAATAAATAAATAGGGCTCTCCTAAAAGCTGTAATAGGAGCATGCTAGCATAGTGCAGAAATACATAACACATCTTAAGGTTTTCAGTTTTGTTTTTACCTCAGTCTGTCTAGAGTCCATACATTTTTAATGACTGTGCTTACCAGTTGCTGTCCGTGAACACCCCAGGCTGCGTACTGTAAAACTGAATCCTCTACTTCTGGAGGGTTTAACTCCCAAACTTCCCTTGAAAAAAGGGGAACATTTTTACTTGAACACACTGGCATCACCTCATGTACAGAGCCACTGACAACGACACGGTATGGAACAAACAATGTGACCTACCTTGTGTGTATGTTATAAATCACATATGAAGCTGTATAAGAGTAATGAAAAACCTGTTAAAAAAAGAAAAAGTAAAGAATTACAAGACAAAATACAGGATTCAATACAGACTACCATGAGGGCAGTCACAGTCTTTTTAACCCCTGTAAACTCTGATACCTTTGTTACTGAAAGAATGTTTTACTGAATTAATTATAACCAACAGACCTGAACAAGGTTTTGAAAGCTGTAGGAAGGACACACATATTCACCTGTTAATTTAACCAGACACTGTAACAGTACAACAACTGGACAGAAAATGCCCCAATTAGAAAAATCAGCATTCCTGTTTAAAAAAAAACCAATAGAAACACCCCCCCCAAAAAAAAAACCTAAACCAACAAACACACTGAGAATATACATTAAGAAATAAAACCACTTTTTTTTTTCTTCATCAAGCTGTGTCAAAATGATTGCACAGGCATCACAGTTATTCTATTTGAAATGCAGACCAATAGAGGGTCAGATGGTATTTTTCTGACCACCTGCTATGAGCAGCCTGAAGGACCTCTCAGGTATGGCTGTGTACTTAGCAGGGCTCTGTTTGCTGTGACTTTCATTAAATAAGTTTTGGTCTGATTTTGGCTGACTTGCTTTGTTTTTCAGGAAAAGTCTGTGGAAGGTACTTTTTGTCTGGGTAAAACAAAGAACTATTTTTCAGTAAACCTTTCTCATTCAACAGCAAGTTACCAGTGACTTCTGGATTCCAAACCTGTAGGATTCTCTGAAGGGAACAGAAGAGCATTTACAGTGTGTAATGTGATGGACCACCACACCAAAGGGCTCAAATCAAAGCAAACCATTGCACATTCTGTCTAGTCAAACATTAGTCTATACACAGATAGTGAGTAACAGACATTTTGCTCTCTTCCAGGCTTGAGTGATTGTTTTTTACCTAGCTCATTTTTTGCCTCTACATCTTGTATCATGAAAGCATCATAATTCCATAGTATTAGTTTTAATATGATTTGAAATTACTTCATGGTCTTGGAATATGAAATGTATTTGTCACTAGTTATTACTGTACTAAACAAAAATCTTTTTAATGTAAACTTCTGTCAGAAAAAACATTAGATGACACCCACTAGACTTCCTGCAGCTTCATGTTTACAGTAACAGCATCTCTGCTGGGCAAATGAAGGATTTATTTCTGGACAGGCTAATCCCAGTTAGTTGGGGACAGCAGAAAGCTTGACATGGATACATATATTGGGAACTCCTCAGGTTATATTTTCTGCTCTGGGAACCTTTCAGTGTCTCCTTCAAAGAGAACAGACAAAGGGGGATCTTACGTGGACAGAGCCACTGGAATTTGTCACTATGGCACACAAAAAGGTTTCAGAGGTTGTTATTTTGTCTGGAGGCCATTCAATAACAGAGCCATCCAAAACATCCTCCCGCTGATTCCCTTTTCATTATTAGTTCTCTGCCAACACATGGCAAGAATTTAGCTTGTCCTAAATCTTTGCTGGCTGATGCAGCAAGAATTCCACAAAGGTCCCTAAGATTAGTAACTCTACTTTGTGCAACAACTGAACATCCCTTCTGCAAAATTTCCCTTTGAGACAAAAATAATTTTCATTTTCCAAGTCTAACATGCTTAATGTCAGAACTGTTGCTTCAGTAAGAATCACACATATATCAATAAGTATGTCCCAAACTCTTTTAATATTTTATATTACAGCTAAAGGTAAACTGTTTTTTCATGCCAGGTACCAGCCTCTTCTGAGAATTGTGAATGAACCAGAGACAAATGGTTAAATCATGGTGGTTTCTGCACAGGGTGTGCACTGCCAGAGGTTACCCAGAGAGGCACTTGCCAGCAGCTTTTAAAGGCCAGTTACAAAGAAGAGAAATGGGTCTCTTACCCTCGTGGGAAAAGGGAAAATTGTATCAAAGATAATGTGGGGAGGGTTGATAAATATTTTGAATAGAAATATTTTTAGAGTAAATTATTTGACAGAATATATTTCAACAAGAAATGCTAAACTAATAAGTCATTCTGACAGCTTAAACAGAAAATATACTGTAACAACAAGAACAACACTTCATATATGATGTGAAAACTCTGCTCCTGCCTTGTGTAACATTTCTGTCTAAACATTTACGCAGAAACATTAATATCTGTTGAAAAAAGGTGAAAGAGCTCCACTTCCAGTGGAGACCAACACTACACTGAAGTCACTTTCAGACAGAATGCTGACATTTTTCTTGATTTACTCATATTAGTTTTAGCTCTTAACAGGAACACCATGTATAAATTACAAGTATGAAGTTTCCTAATTCATCTTGCTTGCAAGAGCCACACATTGAAACACAATCACTATCGAAACAAAATCAACAAAAAAGGATGTAGAAAATCTTTTTCTAGCTTGGCTCTCATAGAAAGTGCTTAGGGAGCTCTTGTGGTTTTGTACAAAGGCTGAACCTGTTTGGCTTCCTCTTGCACAGGGCTGTGTCAGTGGCTGGGACACAGCTCTTCCCTGACATCGTCACACAACATCTGGCACCACAGGGAGGAGTACCAGCAACCCTCAGAACACCTGGATCGAACCTCCCACATGGCCACTAGCTGTGTCCTCTGAGAAGGAGGCTTGGCGAATTATGCCCCAGCAACTAAGCAGAAAAAACCTGGTAATTTCTGCAGCACTGCCGCCTCTCACAGTGTACAGCAAACACTGGCTACTCTGTGCAAGTCAAACCCAAAGTGCAACTATTCCTTTTCCATAATGCTTTCAGACATTTCTTGTATCCCATGCCTTCTAATGGAGGTGCTGTCAAAAGATTGAAAGAAGACAAATATTTAAACACGGTCATTGAATTGCAACAATTGACCAAAATAAGAGATGTGAAACTGAGGAAAAGGGTTTGATTGTATGAAAAATACTCATTTCTACGTACAGAGAGAATCACTTAAAGATTATGGACACACAAAACATCTCAAAGAAGAAAAGCAGTGTAGGAGAGAAAAGCCTTTTAAAATATTAAATACATTACAACAACTTCTGCAGGGTCATATCAACTGAGGGAAACAAAAAGAGGAAAATGACCTGGTCTAATTTATTAAAATAATTGTACATATTAAGGTTGGGCACTGTGAGGAGCCTTCAGAAGTGGCATGTATGATTGCTAGGGTTCAGGCCTTTCTGGCAAGTAAATAACTTGGCTGCTTCTATTATGATAAGCTGGAAAATGCTCCCCGCAATGTTAAGAACTGTGAAAATGGCTTTTTAGATCAGACAGACAGTACACCTCCTCCTCAGCACAATTTATTTAATTTTTCTTTTGCCACAGAATGCAGCTGGTAACAACCACTGCATATTAAATATTTCTTCTGAATTCATTCTTTTATCAGTTTATAAAGTGATGACAAGCTTTCATCTGGTGCCGCTCAACACTGAAAAAGTTAGCTGCATTTGTGTATGAAAAAAATGAAATTACAGAACTCCATTACAAAGGACCTAAAAGGAAAAGGTGACAAAAGTATTTCAAGACAAATTGCTCCAGTCAAAATGTATTGAAATAACAATCTATTACTCAGCTAACAGCCAACAATAAAAAACACATTATCAATCATGAGCTGAACTTTTAGATGACACATTTAGAAGAAGGTGTGATTCTTTCAACAACTGAGTTCTGGGGTTTCATGTGTCCTTTATTCCCTACATTTCAAGAAATTATTTTTTCTTTCTGCGGTTTCTAAAAATGAAATAATTCCATGGAACTCAGTGCATAGCCCAACAAGATGGAAGAAAACAGTGCCTTATACACTCAGCCAAACACGCTCCACTTATTCTGCAATACATTCCAGAAAATATCCAGTTCACTGTCCCTGGGTAATTTGGAAAACATTTCTCAGCAGAATAGTGTTTTTGCTAAAAAGCTGCCAAGAAAACCTCAGTAGAAGTATTTTTACAGTGTGATGAGAGCTCTTAGCTCCAGGGAAATGGAAGAGAGCTGATGACATTAGAACCTCGCAGTGCTATAATCCCAAAATGCTTGGGCATGCCAGACACCTTGATGCATCCTTTATCCATTTCCTGTATTATAAACCGATTACATTCTTTCATGTGCTATTTATTCAGAGCAATAATGATTCCTTCTTGGCATGGCTTTTTGCAAGGTAGTGGAGTGTCTGTCCTGTATTTTTGTTTTCACCCAAACACACGCCTGCAATCTGAACACACGCCTGCATTTCTCAGTGCTGCTATACTCTGTAAATTCCCCTTTCAGGTTCCAATAAAACATCTCACAGGGCATAAAGGCACTCAGTCTGAGCAAGAACTATAAAAGGTGAGAGTATACAAAATATATTGAAAATTTCAGCACCTGCAGTAGTACTTTCAGTTATTCCAAAGCTTAACAGCCAAATGGTGTCTGTGTCTTGCACACAACAGAGATATCCATCTATTTGTATTGTACATAGCAAACACAACATACTATTTAAAAGCCATTCTCTTCCCATTAGTTAATAAAAAACAAAAAGCAGCAGACACTCATTAAATAACCGAAATTACAGTGTTTGCCATCGTCCCCATCCCACTTATCTCCAAACACATAACCTGATTTGGAAAGAGAGGCACTTTTTCAGATAAGGTTCAAAGCCATGCAGATCTCTCTGATTCACCAGTGAGGTATCAGATCTTTCATGGGTTAATTTACACTTCTGATCCCACAAAAACCAAAATCTAGTATTTTAAGAGACTACTAGTCTGAATGAAAAATAGTTATATTCTTGTATTAAAGAATTTAATCAGATTTGGACACAGGATAATCGACCTTAGCTGAGTAAAGTTGTAACTCCTGCAATATATGGATGCCTCCCAAACAGTATTACTCATAAAAAGAGAAAGATGAAAAAACTGCTTTTATTGCTTCACAGGCACAAGTCAATTATTAGGCAGTTCAAAGCTATGAGAGAACCCAACCTGGAAAAGGTTTTCTGTGCCTGAAAGCTTTTCTGTTTTTTCCAGCTACATCAGTTGGCCTAATAAAAGATACTACCTCTTCCCAC